ACAAATGCACTACCTTCTTTGAACTTCTCTTTAGTGTTAACTCAGTTATTTTGTCTGTCCTTCTCGAGGAACGTTATCCCCTATCTCATATGACTTCAGAACAGTTGGTGTTAGTGCTCTGAAATTTGGAAATCATTTCGACTTAAAATGACCAACTTTAGCACCCCATTCCAAAAATTTTTAATTGTTCGTTCGGGAGATGTCTATAAAATAGTTTTTCTCGTATTAGCTTAACATTGGCCGTTGTTATAAATAAAACTGTAGACGATTCTGTTTTAGATTCCATTGAAAATCCTTTACTGTTTAATTTTTTTCTTCTTTTTTTTTGCAAGCTCAGTAATCAACAAAGTGGCATTACGGATCAGTGCTACGTCACTTTATTAGTATTCCGAGTATTATCTGAAATCACACGTTTATTTTGTTCACAGTTGTGTTTATAAAACATGTTGTGATTGAGATAAATAATTCAAATTAAACGGTAATAAAAATAAGGAAAAATAAGATACTTACTAAACGAAAAATTAATGGAAAAAAAGGAGCTGATTCATAATCAAATCATTATATATTATTGACGTTAATGGTGCTTAATTAATTTTTGTAATATGTACTATTATTATTATTAAACAAATCACGATATATTATTGACGTCAATGATGCTTATTTAAGTTTTGTAATATGTACTATTATTATTATTAAACAAATCACCATATATTATTGACGTCAATGATGCTTAATTCATTTTTGTAATACATACTTTTATTATTATGGCAGTTCCCATGGCTTTCAATCTATACAAAATATACTAAAATAGAAACTTCTGTACTATGGTAATAGTTTTTTCATGGTCAACCGTAGGGTATGAGTATCGGGGAAAATATCTTAATTACGGCTATTATGAGATAATCTCGAGCAAGTATATCACGGCAAATGATACTGATTGATATATATTTGCACAATTTCTAAAAAAAGTGATATGCTGAATGTAATAACGCTAATCTTTGAGTTAAATGGACGAAAATAAAAAGATTTTAGTTCTGTTAAAATATATACTTGAGTGAAGTAACGTTTGCATACAAGATTTCTCTAAAATCGCTAAATTCGATGGATAGGGCAGTAGCTGAAGTTGCCCGAGAGTTAAAAAGATATTTCCATACTTCATTAGTCACCCTGTATATCGAAATATTGTGGTGATTATAATTTACGCATGGAAGCACCAATGAGAATTTGTATGTGAGTGTTGTGTGTAAATATCGAGACAAATATGTGCATCGTGTTTTGACAAAATATCGAGAAACGAGCACCCCTTGTTGAAAGAAATAGCTTATGATTAAATTTTCCTTTATAACTATAAATTGACAACCGTTAGTGACAACGTTGCCATCTCCTGCAATTTTCTTCTATTACTCTGCAATCCAATTATTCACATATTGGTATATCTGTTTGGATTATCCATCAATATTTATACGATTTTTCTATTCAAATATTGAAAATAATGTATTGATTAATACTTCACAGTGACAACAACACGAACGCAAAAGTTTTATCTATTAAGTTTCGAAAAAAAAAAATTTGAAACTGAAAAATTCTAGGAAAAAAATTAAAGTACACGACCTTAACTCGGAAATTTCTATGGTTATCGTAAATAGCTTTTAACCTAACCTAACTTTGTTCTTTATTTTCTGTATATGAAAAAAATACGTGTTGATCACAGTTGCGCTCCAACTAATTTAATAAACTTGTCTAGAAAGTAAAAATTCTTTCCGTATGTCATCTAATTTAACCCTTTCGAACACTTTTTTACCTAGTTTAATTTAGGTTTCCATTTGTTAATAACTTCAGCTTTCTTGAAGTGCGTTTGAATAAAAATGGTAACCATTTGCTAGTTTAAAAAAACGTATAAAAGTTATAAAATACATAATTACTTTCGAAGTTAGTAGCATTTATAAAATTTGTTTTATAATTAAAGAAAAATAAAAGTCAATAAATTCCTAATGGTTCGTGTTAAATATATTTACCGCCAAAAAAATAGCATTTATGTAAACTGAATGAGTTTTTTTTTTCTTATATCAATTACTATTCTTAAAACAATTTCAATTCCAAAAATACCTTAATTTACCGTTACTAGAAATAAATGGCCCATTAAAGGGTTAAATGCTGCAAGCAATTGTTTACAACTCAAAAATGAGAGCTCAGATTTAAATCGTTTTTTTTTTTTTCATTTTTTTTTATTTATTTATTTTTTCTTATTTTTTATTTATTTATTTATTTATTTTTTCTTATTTTTTTTTATTTTTAAATTATTTTTTTTCTTCTTTTTCTTGTGCGCGTTTGTAGAGTGTAAATATTATCCACGGTATGGATTAAGAACAAATGACTCTATCCTACGAAGCGTGGCAAAATTTGAAAATGATAATTGTTAGTACCTACAAATAGTATGGTAACAGAACTTAAACGAGAGCTATTTCGCAATGAACAAATTTTGTGTTTTTTCTATTTTAATAAAAGTTTTAAAACATAAATATTTTTTCTTATCTTCTTTATGTTTTTTAATTATTATGTCTGCTTTTTAGTGTATTTACTGAATATCTCATGTGTGTCAGTAAATTTTATTTGTGTTCTAGCGATGTTTTTAAAATTTTTCCAGAAGCTTTCACGAATTTCGGTGTTTTTTTTTCCCGTGACGAATTTATAACCTAAATTATTACATGCTATGGTGCATTTACTACTCAGGACTAGGCTGCGAGTAAGAAGTAGGCGTTACTTTTGACACTCGTTTCCCAAATTTATTTAATATGCAAAAAAAAATAAATACAATTAATCTACCACGGCTATTGAAAAAATAAAGTTTATATAATTTATAAAAATTTTCCTTGCTTAAATATTTATTCAATTTATGACTACCTAATCTATGCCTATTAAATTTAGATGAATCAGTTAGCGGCGCTTGGCGCCGAATACTGAGTTACTATTCATTTCCAACGTGCTTAAATAACTTATTTTAAAGTTTTAGTTGAAATTGAAAAACAAGCAGCTGCTTATTGTGGCTGGCTGCTTCTGCTTCTGCTTCATGAGATCGAGAATATAAATGGAAAGAAGAGTACTATTACATACCTGCCAACTCTTCCAGATTTTCCCGAATATTTTATTTTCATATTTAAAGTGGTAGTAAGTATATACTATTTTTTCTTTTATAAACTTAATTTTTAGATGATTTTTATCACCACTATTCTTGCAAAAATTAAGCACATATACTAATATGCGTTACTTTACTATCATGGTTGTCAACTTAAGTTTTCTCAAATGTGTTTGCTTAAAATTGAAGGTTTGGGAAATTTGACTTACTTAGTCAGTTTTCACTTTAATTTATGTTAGAGTATTCACAAACCTCATCATTGAGCACTCAAAGTGATAGTTTATAATATTTTTCATTTATTTATTTATTTATTTTTTTTGAGCAATGGTGGGTAAGAAAAGTCAAACTATTATAACCCCGCCCACAAATAAACAGCTAAGTTTGGTTCACAATTATGTCATTTTACCCTGATTGATGACTTTCCATGCTGACACGTACTTGTGACAGTCTTCGCGAAAGGGTTAATCTTAAGATAATATGTTTATATCCAAAATAATATTGAAATTTTGTAATTTCTCCACTTTCCGCAAAAGTTTTGATAGATTTGCAGCGAATTGGATAGTAAAACTTGTAGAATAAGGATAGCTACGCCCACTCTTTGAAAGTGTCATCAAGTGATAACTGCTTAGTCTAGAGCCCCTGAATTAGACAGGCCGACTTATCATTTATTGTTGGAGCAAAGAGCTAACATAAGCACATCGAATAAATATTTTCAAGTGGTAGTTTATTAATTGTAATTCTTGGTTTAATAAGTTCGATTTAGTAGATTTTAATTCTCCACTATTTCTAAACAATGCGTAGGCTTATATAATTCACCACTTTGTATTACTTATTACATGCTTTACATTTTTAAAAGCAAGCAAATATTGTCAACTATTTGCAAAATTTACTTTGTAGTTATTTACCGTTTTTTAAATTACTTTGGAGTGTCCGCAGCAGTTGGAATCTCTGTAATAACACAGCGAATACTAAAATAACGTTAACTTGCGAACTTGTTTGCTCCAATATTGCTTGATAGGTCAGCTCTGATAGTATAGGAGCCTTAGCTTAGTCCTAGTATGTATTTAGATCTGGGCCGGACAGCGACCCATCCCATCCATTTAATCGTTCGGTTGAAATCATTGAAGTTAGCAATCGGGGTGTTGACTTTATTTGAGATTTGAACTGGGTCGCGAAGCAATAATCAATTTAAAGAATTTATGACTTTATCTGTTTGTTTATATTTTTACCTGTTCTATCTTTTTTTTTACAGCAATATCATTTAGCTACCTAACATTAAGTTTACTAACCCAAATAATTTTAATATCAATGGCCTTTGATTCAGTTTGTAATCATATAATTTACGGAGGTGGCCTTTTTGGCCAGGTACTCCTGTGCACCAATTATTAGTTTCCGCGAAGCTGCCCCTGTCCAGCATGAAGTGATAAACATTCATTGTGGTCAGCAGTCGTTGCCGTCAGCAGTTGAGCACTAAACCTCTAAACGCTAGCGGGCACTAAACCTCTAAATCTATAATTTGCCCTAGGGAAACCATGACTAACACATGAAAAAACCTCTCGCGAAAATCCATAAAATTGAAGAAAATGCTTGCGAAGCGTTGTTAGATACGAAGGACTTAAGCCAATGTAGTATAAAGCTAACTTTTTCAGAAGAGTGTTTTTTGATGAAAAATACCGATATTTCCATGATAGCAATGGGATATTTTCGCGTTTTACTGTAGTTTCGAATGCTTGTGAAGTACCTATTTAAAAACAATTTTTAAGAGCACTATGATTCGAAAAAGCCAGCTTTGGAAGAAGTATGGCTTATCATGCATTGTTCGTAGCCTATCATATTTAATACCTACAACTATAAATAAAATTAATACCTGTGAATAGTTCTTTTGTAACTTCTCTTCATTTTCTTTGGTGCAGCTCAGCGCATTGCAAAGTTGTTGAAGACCTTCCCGAACTTGACCGTTAATAAGTGCAATTTCTTTCCTCAAGATGTTAACGTGTGCAGTCTTGCATTCCTTGCATACTTTACGGTTGCAGTGAGCGCACAGTACAAGTTGCCCTTTTTCTTTACAGGTATTGCATTTCTGCATAGATGCTGGCAGTTCAGGTTCACGGCCACTTACCTAAATGTAAGAATGAATTCATAAATTTAATTGTACAAAAACAACAAAATAATCGAAGTCCTCGTAAGCAATACACGCAGCTTTGCTAACAAGAAGAACTTGTAAACATTTTTAAGAAATACTTCTTGATATTTTCTTACAAATAAAATAAATTCTTTCTGAAACACAACAATCCTATTTAGATAGATAAATTAGAAAGAGCTTTATTGTTTTTCTCTCTAGTATACGATAGCTGCCAACTCTCCCCTAAGTTTACAATCATATATTTAAATTGGTAGCAAAATCTGCGCTTCTCTACAAATTATTGGTTGCATAAATTTAATTTAAAATAATTTCGGCCACCACTTCAGGATAACGTTTAATGTTATCTTTTAAAAAGCATGAAGTACGTTTTATGACAAAAATTCATATAATAGTTTATGGAACCGTAGCAAGCCAGATAATCTAGTAGCAAACTTTTTAAAATGGGATATTATAAAGCAAATTGAATATTCCTTAACCCTTTGATACAAAATTTTTATTAAACTAATTTTTCATATTTCTTCATTATTTTGTATTAATTTAGTACAAAATAAATAAAAAATATTACTTTAAGCATTTTAATAGTTTATGGTTATGAAATACAGCATGAAAAGCCGCTTTTTTTCTGCGTTGTCTTCCAAATACGGCTCACTTTGAAGCATTAATATTTCAAATTTGCAGTTATCTAGATTTAAGAGAAACAGATATGCATTATCGAAATTTCTTTAGTTTGAAAAATCAACGATTGATAAAGGTTTGAATATGAAAGAAAAAAAATATTTTTTCCAACCACTTTTTTTTTTAGATTTTATATTTTAGTACAAATATAATTTTGATAATATATTTGTTTTTTAAGAAACTATTAGGCCGTTTTTAATAATTAAAAAACACCAAAATATATTTTTGCTTGCAATTAGAATAAATATACAAAAGAGACCCATCTGCATCAAAAGTTAATTGTAACCTCGCAACCATTTAAATCATGTGGGGATCTGGGACTTTCGTATTTTATGCTTTTTACGAAGAAAGAAAAAAACGTCCTTTTCCTTAAAGAAAATTTAGTAGCCTTAAATTTTGAGTTAAGATTATAATTCATTAACAGAAATACAGGAAAGTCAGAATTGAAATAGTCTGGCTAAATTATTAATAACTGATTTTTTTAAAATTGTATATGATTATACAAATTATATCATAATGTAGTCACCCCATCACTTCTAAAGAAACTAAAAAAGAAAAAAAAAGCCGGAATAAAATATTCCGAAAAATAACACAAGCAAGATGGATAAAAGAAGATACCTCGCGACTCAGTCCATCGCCTTTTAGACCATCATATTGCAAAGGTAAATTGCAAATTTTCGAAAAAAATTGTGACTCGGCAGGATTTAAGGAAATTTTCACTTTTGAAAACTTGAAAGAAGACATAAACCTCAAGTTAATGAATGACAGCTTATAATTGTAGCGACGCATCTTAATCTGGAATGCAAAATATTTAATTTTCTTTTCCCTCCAATTTGTATTCTAGTTACCGAAAAGAGCCACTTTAAAGTTAAAACTTCAAGATAGACTGAAAAAAGGGCCATAAACGTCCCGAGGCGCCCAGATAAATTTTATGATGATGATAATACTTCTCTTCCCTTTTGAAGTACAACACTAAGTACAAATTTATAGTTTGCTACCGCTTCTATTATTTTCTCACACTGATCAGCTACTGTACGCTGCCACTATACTTGTCGCCCTGGGGCATCACCACATATGAAGATGTGGATTAAAAGATGTTTGCGATAAGAGACATTAACGGCCTCAAACGCTCAGAAAAGTCTTAATGATGATAATGCTTTTCAGATCTGGCAAACAAATAAATGCCGAATTATTTCTTTGCACGAAATTCATAAAAAGGGCAGAGTTTTCTATGTAACCGTCTACTTGCCTAATTTCCGTAAGATTTTATTATTATTTTAAAATGATAAAAAACTTGTGCTTCTCTTGTGTGAAGAGCTTAGTGAAAGAACCAGGTAAGTGACATTTTTAGAGAGGTAAGAAGAAAAAAAAAGTAATATCCGAACTATTTTATTATAGATTTGTTAGAAGGCAGAGATAATAACGCTTTAGCGTATTTTATTTACCACTGCCTAATTGGAAATAAACATCACTCAAGCAGACTTAAAACTAATCAGGATTAGTTGTGTGAAGAAAGTGAAAACAACTCTTTTACATTCAGCATACTCATATTGATGCAACCACTTTTGTGTTATTTTCTCTGATTCATTAATACCCTTAAAAAAAGTCACTAACCTGATTTTTGCACTAACTTCATTATAATCCATTAATAAATGAAGTAATCGATTAATAACTTCATTTATTAATTCAATTTAGAATGATTTAGGCCACCGCTGCATGTGAATGCCTTGTATATACGCACGATAATCATACGTCATACCTGTTTGTTTTTTCTCTCAGAGGATGATTTTTTCTATTAATGTGTTACAAAAAAATGCAAATACAAGCAGGAATATTTTTATATTATGCAAGAGCTTAAGCGCACCTTAAAATATTATTATGTATTAAAATATATATATCTGATTAATTTTTATCAGGTGTTGGACAAAATCATTTTAAATTAAGTTTATAAAGCCAAGGATGCCAACTGCTCCGCTTTCTGCAAAAGTTAATAAATTCGTAGCGAACTGAACTGTAAAACTTGTAGAATGAGAATAATTACACTCACTCTTTATAATCATTACCACGAGTTAACTACAATGATGTTGTATTTCATATGATATTGCGAAAGAGTGTTGAAAATATTACTTCAAATGAAAAGTACAATATTTTTTTTACAAAACGGAGCAAGTTGGCATCGCTGTAAATCCAAAAATTAAGTAGAGGAACATAAATTTTGCTGCCACTGCTAATACGTTGAAGAATTTAAGCTCTACCAAAATATAAAAATATTTTTGTTTGCAATTTTTATATACTACCACTAAATAAAATCCTTTTTAGAAAAAATTAAAGTTAGCAGGTGTGGAATTAGTTATATAGTGTAAAGATAACTCGTGGAGATGTAACGTTATGTTATTGTTGTTGTCCAATGCCACTTGGCAATACTAACAAGCCTATTTTAAGACAGCGTTTCTTCTTGTTTTTCAGCAGCACCATCTATGGGCAAGAGTTCGTTTTCTGTCACACACATACGTCACAGCCCGTTTTACAAGGAAAACACATTCACACACCATCCACCAGTCCGCAGATTGTAATATTGATCTGATCCAGTACCCCCAGATATCTAGATTTGGTTTTGAAACTTGGAGGACTTTGTTACCCTGACAGATTTAGCGTACTCCGGTCAACATTTTTCACACGGGAAGTCTTCGACCGGCAAGAATCAAACTAATAACCTTTTGGACAGGAGCCCAACATCTATATACATATTTCTCTTACACGGCAACAAAGAAAACCTCATTACAACTCCCCGAATGGCAACGCTAGAAAATCGACCAATGATTGCCGCTAAAGATGTCACATGCCAAATCTAGCTGAGATGGCTCAACATATAGCGCCTTTAAAAACGGAAACTGAAATAACCAGAGAGAGCATAAGCTAGGCAGTAGTGAGTAATCTTTGTCGATAGATCTCTATTTTAGTATTTTGTCGAAAGCTTTTTTTTTCACGAATTTATATATTACGAATTTATTTGACGATTTTTGATTTATATCACGAATTTATTTGTTTTACTAGAATTTATTTGTTTATGCAGGTTTTTCCATTGCAATTCACTTATTTCAATTTTTAATAGACTTAATTATAGCCAAAATTTTAACCTTTTTAAAGAGATATCAGTTTTAGAAATTTTATCTTAAGATGAACTTCTTCCCTACATTTCTAATAGATTTAACGAATTACATGTCATTTATTTGAATTCAAATTTATTTTAAGGACTTAGTACTCACTAAAAAGAAGTAATTTTTTTTTTAAAAAAAAGTTGTTATATGGATTTGAATGATTGTTTTGAATTCTTAGAATCTTTTGCATTTGCAATGTACCTAAGTTAGTAGTGAGCGAAGCGAGCTTGGTTTGCGAAGCAAACCATATAAGATTGCGTAGCAATTTTCGAGGGTTGGCGAGCGTTAGCGAGGATGGAGCGCAGCCCACTAGTATAACGAAATAACGGTTTAATTACAACCGCTCTTTCCAAGTTTTTCATATTATGCAGCATCTGATGCTTTTTACTAACCTCGAATACAGTGAAGCATGAAATAAAATGAAGCATAATGTCAACTGAATACACCAAAAGAAATTTTTCTCGAAGTGTTAATTACCTCTAATTCTGATGGAAGTGTTATTCAGCAACTATAGATAGCTATAGAAATTAGTATTTCCGACTGCACGCAGCCCACATCCTTGGCAACGCACCAGATTCAGTTTGATTCAAGAATGTAGGTAATCCATGAAATTAAAATATTTCAATTTTGAAATGATGCCATTGAAAAAGTAAACTCTGAAAAATTATATTTTATGAGAGCCTTCCTCTCTTACTATGCTGGATTTTAAGTTAATTTTTTTAATTTTCATTATGATAAATTTTAATATAGTAGAATATTGATAACAGAATATTATTCTGCAAGACAATGTAGAGTATAGAATATTGATGACAGAGTATTATTCTACAAGACAATGTAGAGTATAGAATATTGATGACAGAGTATTATTCTACAAGACAAGGTAGAGTGAACAGTATAGAGTGAAAATTTTGATTTATTAGTTTGGGAGAAATAATGCTTAATAGCTTTTAGAAATTATGCAATATTCTCCCGATCTTTAACCCTTTCGCGCCGACTGTCACAAATACGTGCCAGTATAAAACCGTATCGACCAGGGTAAAAAGATAAAACTGGTAATCAAAGTAATTCTTTAGCAGTTTATATGTGGGCGGAGTTAGAATTGTTTGATTTATTTAATTCACCATTACTTTGTTCAAAATAAAACTATTTTGTTATACTTTGAATTAACATTGATTATATATGTGATTAAACTAACAATAATTATAGTAAAAGCAAAGTAAGTCTGTCAAATTAAAAACGACTACATTTAAGTTACCGTTTTTTATTTAATTACATCCTGATTCTAATTTTGTATGAGTGCTTTTCTGAATCACCCGTCCCCAAGGGGTTAAATTATGACAAGAAAGGTGATAAAGAAAGTAAACTCATAAATGCGATAAAGTATTTAAAGAGAGAAAGAAATGACTTTAATTTTTAATTATTATAAAAAAATTCTAAAAAATAATTTTATTATAAACTTAGTTATGATAAATGATAAAGATAGTACTTTTTTCATATTCAGCGAAGTTTTTATCAAGTTTTATTAAATGAAAAATGATAAATATTAATTTTCAGCATTTTTAAATATCTTGTTGCTACTGATCAACTGAGTTCCTCAGATTGACGTAAAGTTAAAGTCTATAAAATTTAGATTATTCTCATAACACATATTTCACCACTTTTTTAAATGTATCCAGACTGTGGCCTCCCTCTACACAATTTTGTTTTTTAAACGTCTATTCCAATAATGAAATATTTCTGCTTACGTTTTTTTCCCTTTGTTTTTTATATGCGTGATAGAGTTATGAGCAGGAATTGTCGTACCCGCCAGCATTTGAGTTTTGTGCGTTAGATAATTATCAGTGAAAGTAAACTAAAACTAAAAATTTTGAAACAAACAGAGCTTTCCTGAAATATTTATGCAAAATTTAAAAAGTAATGTCAAACGTCTTATGAGGTTATCGCAAATTTTACAGGTTTTAGTTTCACATCAATTTTAGAAATTTAGTTGTACAATTGTAACACAGATACAAATCTTTTTGGCCTATAGTATTTAATTTAAACATTTTCTAATAAGTTCCAATATTTTTTAATATAATGCTACCCTTACATGTGCATTATGCGTGCGCTACACTACTACTATTCAGCTTCAGAAAATTAAGATGAATAAGAGCATCAGTGCAGGATTCAATTACTTAGCAATAAACATAAGTAATTAAGCCAATTGAGAGGTGCTATAAAGTATGTCTGATAAAAATGGGGGGAAAAAACCTGGTCATACGAAGTAAAAAACTTTGGTTATATTATAACCTGGGAATCTGTACCCAAGGGATTTCTTCAGGTAAAGAACCATAGTGGCTTATAAATAAGAAGCAGCTGCTTGTTGTATCACAGCTTCTCAGCTCCACGCTATTTAATTGTCCAAATTTTTCTTAAATTTATCCTAGTTTAAAATACCTATAGTAATTACATTTGAGCGAGAGTCGATCGGAGAAATAGCAATCGCAGCAGGCATGAATCTTGCATCAGAGAAAATCGAAACCCAACTCAAGACACGGGAATGGTAGACGCTATTCACTATACTAATTGAGTAATGCAATGTATTTAAAATGAACAACAGAATGTTTACGGTTTGAAAATGGTTTGAAACGACTAGTAATTTCACAAATTATCAAAATTACATTATCACTATTTATAAGAACTTTAAAATACTCACTTGTTGTCTGAGTTCCAAGAATCGAACCAAAGTTACGTTATTGGGAAAACCCTGGACACCTCCTTGGAGAGGCATTCGATGTTCTGCAGAACATTCTGGACATTTGATTTGGTGTTTGTTTGCCTTGTCTACACATCTTGACAAACACGGTTCTGCGCAGAATGTATGGTTACATGGTAATAATTTAGGATTTCGAAACCTGCCTGAGCACACACTACATTTGAGAAGCTGGTCCATGCGATTCCATGGTGACGACATCTTGAAGATAACGTTAATGTAAAGATAAGCACTTTAATTTTCAACTTAATGAAGAAAGCAGTTCATGCCTTAGGATAACCTGTCGGTAAATAATCGTTTCATTCCAAGAAACGAACGTAATTAGTATCTGTGATATAAATAGCTTTTCTTTTTATACATATTAGACCATCACAATAATTACAGGATGTTGACATCTTGGAAACACGAAATACGTTGCAGAAAAAAAAGAGTTGCGTAATGTTGAAAAATGGCGTTTATGTATTGTTTTTGTTTTATTTTCATTCAGTTATCGAAGGTAGTGTAGAAACAAGCTACGTTTTCTTCTTATTCAGCGGAGTGGGGGTTCTTCTGAGGAGGGAGATTATTCTGGTGGAACAACAGGTGCTGGTCGCTGTCCAACTCTTCCAAGAGAAGGAATGTCACTGTTACATGAGTGAGTCACAGCTAAGAGGCTAAATTAATCCATTCTTCATTGCCAAATAACTAAAAGGCAACTGTCGAAAGGGTTTGCTTGAATATTTCAGAGGCTTTAATTCTAGAAATAGAATAAAAAATATGTTAGAATTTTTAACTCAATGATTGTAATGAGCTGTAATTTAGAGCAGGATTTACTTTGCCTTCAAATAAATGAAGAGTTTAAAAAAATGAAGAAGAAAAAATAAAAAGAAGTTTTTTATTAAATAGAAGTAATACAATCATAGTAAGCAAGCTTACTTATAAATTTCACGCACTTAAAACATATACAGCCCTGCCTACAACTACGCTTTTTTTATAAAAATATTTTATAGAATAGAAGAGTTGGAACAAGGTGGTGTTGTATATGAACTTTTAAATCATTTATATGTAGTGGTGTGGAAAATAAGTTTGAATTAGTAAAAATAATAATACTTAAAATCCTTAACTTAAATACCACCAGAATAAATGTTTACGACAAGGGTAGAAAGTTGGCTGCCATGATTTAAGGATGGTTCTCGCGCCGTGTAAAAAGTGGTGTAGTAAACAAAACGCAATAATAGGAAATAGGTTAAAATAAGCAAAATTCTTTTATTTGATTGTTTTAAAGATTCTCAGAAACTAGAACTAAGCTTCATTAGTAACGGTGTTCGTAGGGCGCGAAGTGTTAGATACATTCCATTCTTCTTTCAGTTGTCGTATCATTGAGAAGCAGGCCTTCCAACTACTACACTTTTTGTAAAATATTTTATAGGGCGGAAGACAATTAAAGTCCAAAACTAACAGAATTTTTAGTAATTTTGCCAATATTTTCAATGGTTCACCTTATTTTAAATGACTCTTTATAGAAACTTTCGAATTATTTACAAGTAATGTTATGAAAAATAACTTTAAATCAAATTTGAAAAGGAGAGGGCAATACATTAAAGTACAAAATTAGCAATCGACGAAAATTTTCTAGGCAGGCTTGGAGAAATAGCCAACAGAGTGAAAAATACTTTTAAAACAGTTTGATCTAATTTTATGTGTTTAATATTGCTAAATGTAGTTGCAAATAATTAATTAAATTGTGAGATTGAATATTTCCAAAGAAAAAGAGGGCTAACATAATTATTTGAATCTTAACCTTTATTTTGCAAAATTGGGACATTCGTGTGCTCAATAACATATTAACATCTTTAAATAAATATCTTTATATAAGGTAAAAGTACTAACATATATAGTACCTTCTATAGAAAATATATGGTTTGCTTAACAGCATATGTCCTACAGTTTGTTTTATATAAGTAAATTTCTTGTGTACAAATGTTGCTTATACTCTCCCTTCAGAAAGTGGGTTAAACAAAGAAATAAATATTAAAACACTCATTTAACTTCCTCTGGGACTAGTTTTCTACTAATGAGGCAAAAACTGGCAGCCATGTGACGTCAAATTTTCAGCCTTTTTTTACGAACTGTACAAAACCATGCATCAAGATTTAAAAACTAATACAGTGAAACCTCTCGAGAGCGACCACTCTCTGTTCCATAGTAAAATGGCCGTTAATGGAGGTTGGTTGTTCTTAGGAGCTATCTTCATTGATTTCAAAATGAAATCGAAGGTGCATGATTTTTCGCAAACGATTTTAATTTTAGTCAGCATCATTTTCTTGGTGCAGAAATGCCACTTGTGTTGTCGTTATGAAAGGACGGATCGATGCAAAAAAGCAAAGCGTCTATAAAAAGGATCCCAACTGGTATAATTATGTGTAAAAACACATTTACCAATTATGAATGATGGAACTATTTGAAATAAATAAATAATTTTTTTTTTTATATTTGAAATTTATTTTTTATCATAAAAATTAGCTTTAAAAGATAAGAAGAGATTTGTTTGAGATGTAAAGTTTATTTAATCTACTTATTTGTTTTGTTAATATTCTTTGTTTTGATATTTTTTCGAGTTTCCCTTGTTGACCTTTTCTGTATTTGGCGTGGAGATCTGCCCGGCAGCTGGGAGAGGTTTTAATTGTTTGTCCTAAAGCTTTTCTTCAACACAAAGTCTATGGAGAAATTTCTGTGTCTCCCAAAAGTGGTCGTAAATAGAGGTGGTTCCTGGAGGTTTCACTGTATTAGATTTTTAAATCATTAATATATTGTGATACGTATTATTGATATATTTTTCCTGTCTTAAATAAATTCGAATGATAATAAGATAGAAAAATATGCTCAACAAATAAAATAATGCACTCTTTACTCAATATTATAGATTATTCAACATTTCTTAATTAATTAATATTTTATCGACGTACTTCTAGAAAAGAACAAATAAAAAATTTTAAGGTAAAATAATATTATTAATTCATAATTATTATATTCAATCTCCTAACCTGCAATTAAGTATAAAAATGTTTCAGGCATAAGACCAGCCACTTGTCTCTCCAGATCCTAAATATTAATCACTATTGCTTCATATGATTAAAAATAGAAAATTCTGAAGTAAAAAAAAAAAGAACCGTAGAACGTTGTGAAATCATTCAGTGTCTTTTTCTCATTTCCCAACATTTGGCATGCTTTGCTCAATTTTCGGGAATGCGCAGAAAACATAAAGTTGTTTAAATTTAGCTGTTCCGACAGGTGATATTTCCGTTTGAACAAAGACACCGTTTTCTACTTTCACTCGCCCCCACCCCTTCCCATCTTTAAAATTTTATTACGTCAGACCAGCTATGTTATTATAAAGATTTCAGCCGTGATGTTTATGTAATATTTTCATTTTTGCGAGATGATTGCGAAACTCGTGTGCAAGAATGATCTGCTTTCTGGCATCAGAATAGTTGAAAGTGGAAGAAATAGTCATAGATTTCGAAATAAACTATTTTAAATAACGTCATAAATCACTCAAAAATTTATTATTTATGCAATTAAATATTTATATACTCCGGATCATATACTAGAAGTTAGGGACAGAGAACCATCGAAATTACCCTCAGAAATATTTTGTAGTAATTCTATCATGCTGAATGTTTATAAGTTGGCTATCTAGTCAATCGTCTCGTGTCACTAGGGTTCTTCTGCTATGTCGACGGTTAGCCATGACCTCCCCAGGTGCGACTATCTCTTGTAAAAATCCATAACAAAAGAAATCCATTGAAAATTTTATGTTTATTCAAAATGTTTATTTATGTAATTAATTATTTATGTACTCCGGTCCGGATCATATACTAGAAGTTAGGGACAGAGAACCATCGAAATTACCCTCAGAAATATTTTGTAGTGATTCTATCATGCTGAATGTTTATAAGTTGGCTATCTAGTCAATAGTCTCGTGTAACTAGGGTTCTTCTGCTATGTCGACGGTTAACCATGACCTCCCCAGGTGCGACTATCCCTTGTAAAAATCCATAACAAAAGAAATCCATTGAAAAATTTTATGTTTATTCAAAATGTTTATTTATGTAATTAATTATTTATGTACTCCGGATCATATACTAGAAGTTAGGGACAGAGAACCATCGAAATTACCCTCAGAAATATTTTGTAGTGATTCTATCATGCTGAATGTTTATAAGTTGGCTATCTAGTCAATCGTCTCGTGTAACTAGGGTTCTTCTGCTATGTCGACGGTTAGCCATGACCTCCCCAGGTGCNAGACAGAGAAAACATCAATTCCACCATGCGCAGTATGTTGCTGTATTTCGAGATTAGAGGGTCATTTTAGAAGTGAGGAGCTAGACTCTTGTAAGATAACAAAAATTGAAAATATATCACGAACATTAACGAGAAAATGGCCGTCCGCGCGGACGTTGGATTCGAGAAATTTGTTGTCCGCGGGGTATTTTTGAGTGCCGAGGACGGGTGGGCGGGCGGTTTTTCGAGCCCTGCTATCTGGTCACTCGTCTCGTGTCAATAGGATTTTTCTGCTATGACGGCTGTTAGCCATGACCTTCCAAGGGCCGACTAATTCTTGTAAAAATCCATAACAATGGAAATCCATTCAAATGTGTTATGTTTATTTATGTAATTATTATTTATGTACTCTGGACCATATACTAGAAGTTAGGGACAGAAAACCATCGAAATTACCCTTAGGAGGATTATAGAGCGATTCTATCTATTATGCTGAGTGCTTATAAATTGGCTTTCTGGTCACTCGTTTCGTGTCATTATGGTTCTTCTATGGCGACCGTTATCCTTGGAAACATACCAAGGAGCCACTCTCTCTCTCTTGTAAAAATCCATAGCAATGGAAATACGCCAAAAAAATTATATGTTTGTTCTAAAATAAATACAGTTTTGCCACAGGCATCGTAGCAAAAATCAGCATCTGTTCTAGTTAATCATCATATAATAGATATTTCAAATTAAGAAACTTACATCTTAACATATAAAAATCAGATCATTAAATCAAAAGTTTATCAGGGTGTAATGTTTGCTATGTTACACCCTAAATAATTTTTTATCGAGTGTTTAGACTAGTTTCTACGAGGTTTAGGATGTAGCGTTTCACTAGAATTCTTCTGATGGTGGCTGACAGGCTTACAGGAACTTAATAGCCACTACCTCCTGTGTGGTATTGTATACCACAAATGAAATATTTGTTTTATAACATAAATATAATTTTCTATAATTAGGTATAATACATGGTTTAATTAATTTACAATGAATGCCATTAAGTTAATTATGTTACTTTAATGTAGTATATATTTGTTAAATTAATATATTTTAATTAAGAAAAATTGCTGTGATTTAATTACTACCTCCTCAATGGAATTTATGTTACCAATTACGAATTATTTACTTCATGTGTGAACTAAAGTAATTTTTTTTCAATACGCTACTTTCATAATATTGGATAAAAAATAATTTAAACAATTTTTCTTAATTAAAAATTATTAATTAGCAAAAAAATACCGCATTATCTTAATGACATCCATTGCAAACTAATTAAAACATGTATTATTGTTAAAAATATAGAAAAACATATTTATATAACAAAACAAATATTTCATGTGTGGTATATAATAACCACAGCTCCTATATCTTGGATTTCCAAATCCCAACCACCCCAAAAATTATTCATTCTCGGGTTTCAAAATTCCA